GGTTTGCACGTGGTTTGCACGCGGTTTGCACGCGTTGTGCACGCGGTTCGCACGTGTTGTGCACAGGACCATTTTATCACGGGCTACGGCAAATCCTGCCAACCAACCCGAACGGGCTGGAAGGGTATCCAAGGTTCAAATATTCGCCCAAAAAGTATTTTTAGCCCGCCCTTCTGCTTTGAAAAAGCTATCCAGCGGGCTTATGCAAACGACCTCGTGTCTGTCTGTGTGTCTGCCTGTCTGTTCCACTAGAAGGAGATGTGCCAGAAACTCGAAATTTTCAGGGTATCTTAAGGTCCACGCATAGAGAACGAAACGCCTACGGCAAATCCTCGCAACTACCCCTAAGGGTGGAATGGGGGTAACCAAGGTTCAAAAATTCTCCCAAAAAGTAATTGTTCTTAAGTTCTCCTACGAGGTAACTCGTCAAAGCAGAACCCAGTACACGAAAAGTTCGTCCGTTTGGCTCTATCTCTAACCGTTTAGGCGCTGGAGGGTCCTGTTTGACGAAAATAAGCTAAAAATTGCTGTAGTGAACAATAAGTTGTACAAGAAGGCCTAAAAACCTCAAAAGAGGAAAGAAACCCTCCCCTCGACCCACCCCAAAAAACCGTTTTCTAAGCAAATGGGTTGGTTGTAGTCGCGGTGTTGCACCGTTACACCCCTCTCTCGTGTCCACGGGGCAAATTTTAAAGACGACGGGTTTTAGCGGGCCGAAGGCCCGTTACATCATTTGGTTATGTTCTTCAGCAAATCGCGTGACAGAAACGGTCGGGCGGCAGGCCCGACCATTGCCGCCGGCAGGCCAAGGAGGCCCGGCCCCTGCCGAACGGAGTTGCTGCTGGAGCGAAGCGGAGCTGGCAATTCCGTTCGGCGGAAGGGCGGGCCTACTTGTTGTTTTTAATCCAATGGGTGAATCGTCAGAGCAGAGGCGTCTGAGCGAAAATTTCGTCCGTTTGGCTCTATCTCTAACCGTTGAGGCACTGGAGGGTCTTTTTTGACGAAAATAAGCTAAAACTGGGTGCAGTGAACATATAAGTTGTATAAGAAGGCCTAAAAACCGCAAAATATGAGAGAAAGAACCCCCCGACCCCACTCCAAAAAACGTTTTCACACCAGAAGGGTGCGTTGTAGTCGCGGTGCTTCACCGTTACATACCTTCATCTCGTGTCTACGAGAAAAATTATATAGCCGACGGGTTTTAGCGGGCCGAAGGCCCGTTACATCATTTGATTATGTTCTATAGCAAATCGCGTGACAAAAATGGTCGGCAGGCCAAGCAGGCCCGGCGCCTGCCGAATGTAGTTGACGGCGGAGCGAAGCGGAGCCGGCAACTTCGTTTGGCGGAAGAGTGGGTCTGCTTGTTTACGATTTCATAGACCATTACGTCATACTTACCGGTACAAGATAGAGCAAAACGGTCGAAATTTTAGCCCGGAAGGTATACAATGACGAGTTACCCCTTAGGAACCCAGAATAAAATGTTATCAAAAAATTGGGCCTGTTGTCTTTTTGATTTTGTAAAAATCAAATTTTTGAGCTAGAATGTTCATCTTCAAACTCGATCCGTCTTTTTATGATACAAAACTGAAATTCCCAGGTCGCTATCTCTTTTCTTTTTCGAGTTATTGTGCTGACAGACAGAAAGACAGACAGACAAACAGAATGAAGCTTTTTCGGTCAGTGGAGTAATGGGCTAATCGCTCAGCCAATGACCAAGAGAGTAAAAATGTAGTTGCAGAAAACGAACACATGCCCATTAGACGTGTTGACCCTCTCGCGGGCAGTGGCCTTTGCTTGTCAAGGAGGTCCCAGTGACACTGAGGTCACTCGGAGACTCAAGGGGGCGCCATCGCTGACCCGCGCAGCCCTAATAACCCGAGAAATCCGCTGCGCTAAGAAGAATCGACTGAATCTAAGCCGTGTTCGGTTTTGCACGGGTTTACAAAATCGTCAATTGTACCCACAAGTATCATTTGTTGTCGAATTTATTGACGTAATTGTGTTAGGAGAGCGCGCCGAGTCGGGTGTCGGCCATATATGTAGTATAGTATATAAAGACATAGATGGGGCATCGCCTTACAGTCCATGCAGAGCGGTGAAACCAACATGACCCTACCGAGCCGTGTTGCGCCGCGCCAAAGATTTACATCGTAAGGTGACGCGTCTCAGTGATTTTCTTGTATTTAGACGGCGCGGGAACCGTCTGCGCATGCGCTATCGCAGTCGAGCTGGCCGGGCCCCGCCTCGCTGGGCCCCGCCACTGAGCGGCGCGGGTGGCTTGCGTTCGGCCCCGTAGCGTCGCTCGTAGGCGTCTGCCCATGATACCGAAGGTGGGGTCTTACAGGAAATTGAACGGGCTTTCCAATGAGCCCACTCTCAAGCAAATCAAAGGTGTCATACTTGGCCAAAATCCGATTTCGAAACTAAAAATCGAGTTTTCGGTACGTCGCGTGAAAATGGACAAGCGCATTCGAAAGAGAGCCAGTTCTTACCCCTTAGGACGTTGACCGTTTGAAAAAAGATGAAGCGTGGCGCTCGCTAGATCGAGTGGAGTGCGCAGTGGCGGGAAAACTTTGACCCCCGATAAGTAGGCAACCCGTCGCGCAAGGTCGAAACGCTCTTGCAGGTGGTCATCGGACCACTCAAGGAACGTATCCACTAAGTTTCGTCAAAACTTTTTTTTGTTGGGGGTACGTTTGGCATGAAATGACCCAGTATGAGAATTCGTCAATGGGGTTTTTCAATGTAAACCTGGCGCAGTCATGTTGGCTTCAGCCAGGGGCTCCCATGCCCCACCTATTCCTATATATACTAAATTTATGGCAGCGGCTACGCGGAGCAGCAGGGAGTATCTCCATGCCCGACTGCAGCGCGGCCCTGCACCATGATAGTCCGGTAAATAAGCGACGGAAAACGGCCAAAGTTTGCATTTTGTAGAAGAGCAAAACGGTTTGGAGGATTTTGTAGTACATACCCAAGGGATACTTTTTCCTGGCAGGTGCTCACCTCGAACCTGCGACTGAACCGCTGGACGGGGGTTGCATACTCGGCAGGGGCAACACGCAGAAAGCACGTAAAACATGATTTTTCGAGAATGTTTTGGGCGGAATGGTTCCAGAAAGGAATAATACAGTACAAGGTTGGGTGGATGATATCAAGATTGTCCCTTGAAATACCAGACTTTGTCTTGAATCTTCAGATTACTCTAACTCTAATATGCACTGCACAAGAACAAAAGACCAATACTAGACGACTAACATTACCCGGGTGGAAGAAACATGACATTGAACATTAACATTCAACTACATAGCTGCAGTGAAAATTTTATTGACGCCGAACTTAATTTCAAGTGAAAGGGGTGTTGACTAAAATGTTCTGCTTGAGCGGCAGGACTGCAAATGGCATGGAGTGAGTACACTCACCATACCGTGTCACTACTTGGGACAAGCTTCCGTCTCGCATGCACACAGTGGAGTTCATTCGCCTAATAGATTTCTACTTTGACATCTGCAACAGCCCGCGTGCATCAAGGTTCGAACCTCAGAAGTCCACAAGGTGTGATGTCACTGCAGATTCGCTCCACCTCCAAGAGTGGCAAACAATGAAAAACAATATGAAAAATTGGATTTTTGTTAGGAAGAAGAATGATTCCAGACATGTCTCCCCATGTGTCAAAGGGTGGCTGGAAAATGCGGTGACTTAGAAATGTTTGTGGATTAAACTTCAAAATCTTGGTTTTAAAACTTTAAGGCTTCGCAGCCTCAACCAGGATGCCCTGGAAAACTGTTTTGATTTGATCCGGCAGTGTGGTGGCTCCAGCTCCGACCTCACCGGTGAGCAGTTTGTGGGTGCTCTGACAACCTGCCTCATGAGCAGGTACTCATCCACAGTTACGGAGAAAAACGGTCAAGGTGATGAGTCAGTGTCTTTGAGCGACCTGAAGCTGCTCATACAGAATGGTTCTGCTGATGCTACAAGTAGTAGTAATGCTAATGCTTCGTAGAGATGTGCCGACCCATTCAACACCTGTGGCTGTCAATAATGCGCTTCATCGGATGAGCGCTTCAAACCTTTAGCTGTCTTCTTTAGCTGAGCTCACTACTATTTCCTAGTGCAATGGTTGCCAAAATCTTTTAAGCACAAACCAAAGGACACTGGAGTCCTCTTGCTCTCCCTCAACTATGGATAAATATCCTTCTTCTTGATTAATAACATTATTCTTAAAAACGCAGTCAGTCTTTGAGAGGAAGTGGAGGTCCCCCTTTTTTAATCTGATGTGTACAGTGTGGTGACAAAAATGTCAAAAGAATCTGCATATTAGAGTTCAGTGTTCTGTGTTGCTCACCGGCTTGGTGATGCCCCTGATTTTCTGCTGGAAAAGGCTGCACAGCATTTGGTCCAGCTATAAATTAAACAAGGTAATGCAAGTATAAAAGCCGGTGTTGCACGATAGTACTCCCGCCAAGCATACAGCAGGAAAAATTCAGATGGACTTAACCCTGGATAAGAGTTGTTTGAGGAAGAAGCTCTACTTCTTGCAGATGAAGCAGATTCAGGTGTCCTACACCTCTCTTTGTATACATAGGTGTGTATATGTGGGAGGGGGGGGGCACGTTTTTTCAAGTTGGTAGGTTTG